GGATTCGTAAAAAAAGACTTTGATTCTCAAACTCATTCTTGTGGAGTACGGCCGCTGTTCACAATCACAGTCTGTGTCTGTCAGAAGACCGAATCATCTCTGCTTAATCACGGTTTCAGCTGAGGGTCGCATGATTTCAGAAGCCATCGGTGGTTCATCTGGAGGTTATCATTCTGTTATCCGGTTTAGTTTCATTCTCACTGTGGTAATCGTGTTATCATTGTGTGGACACTACGGTGGTTGATCTCAGGTCAGTCCAGCAGATCCCAGATCAGCGTGAAGCGGTGAAAACCATCCCTCTCAGTTCTGAGACTCTCTATTATACTCAACAAGCCTCGTTCAGCAAACAGCTGCAGACTGATTTCAGAAACATGCCTGAATCTGAAGGATTTCCACAGTAACTGATCACATGTAAACCGTAACACGTAATCAGATTAAACAAATATTAGACTATAGTACATTCTAGAATAAGAATACAGTTACTTTTTCATAGATCACACGATTAGCTATTAATTCACACAGTGGCAGTAAATTACTCATCGTTTGATTTTTCTACCAATGCTTTATACATTAGTAAAGTCTTCCAGCTTTTCATCAGCAGTTCGTGGATGAATCCCTGGCGTAATGTAATGTTTAATACACTTCATAACGTTGACAACAAAGAATGGAATATATTTGAGGTCAAAAGTAATCCAAAAGTAGTCAGAATACATTAACTAATATGAGTAATACAATAAATTACTTTACATTTTGGTCATGTAATTTGTAATCAGACTACAATTTGTAAGTAATCGACACAGCTGTGTGTGTATATATATATATATATAATTATTATTCATATTACCATGGCTTTTATTACAATTATTATGGTTAAAATAGGGTTAATATTGTTGTATCGATGGTACATTTGTGGTTTCTACGGTTTTAATTTAAATGTAATTTTTCTAAATGCATTTAAAAAAAATACAAAAATAAATAAATTATATAGATATAAATATAAATAAATGCATGAATGGGGAGACACACACACATAAATATGTGTCCCTGCAGCACAGAAGCAGTGTTAAGTCGCTGGGGGATATTTGTAGCAATAGCCAACAATACATTGTATGGGTCACAATTATACATTTCTCTTTTATGCCAAAAATCATTAGGATATTAAGTAAAGATCGTGTTCCATGAAGATATTTAGTAAATCTCCTACCGTAAATATATAAAAACTTAATGTTTGATTAGTAATATGCATTGCTAAGAACTTCATTTGAACAACTTTAAAGATGATTTTCTCAATATTTAGATTTTTTTGCACCCTCAGATTCCAGATTTTCAAATATTGTCCGATCCTAACAAACCATACATCAATGGAAAGCTTATTTATTCAGCTTTCAGATGATGCATAAATCTCTGAACTGAACTGAACACACATCGCAGTTTATGTGTTTTAATCGTCTTCTGTATGTTGAAAGGCATAAAGTCTAGCAGTGGTGAGCTGGCGCTTAGGCCAGCTAGAGACCGTCTACAAAGTACATGTACAGGATAAAACGATGAATGTTTTCCCACCGGAATGTTTTTTTTACAATTAACAAAACAAGAGCAATTTATGCACCAAGCTCTTTGAACGATATAAAGACAAACACTTATAACGCTCACTTGAATTTCAATAAGAAATATTGTAAACAAGATATGTGATATGGTTATTATATTATTAGTATTAATAAATATATTAATAAAATAAAAACTATTAAAAATCATTATCATTCCATAATCCAGTGGTTATGCAGTAGGCTAATTCCAGGTCCTCGTGAGAACACTTTAATGTTAGCTGTTTTCACAGAAGTTTGAAAACATTCAATTGAAAATGAATAAGCCAATTAAACGGTCCATTAAGCTGATTAACCAATACATCAATTAGTTAAAAATTCCATCGCCAAAGAGTCCATTTTTTAAATTTGTTTGTTTTATAAAAAAAACACTTTAATGTTTTGTAAGAGGGATTTTTTTCGTACTGTCCTGAGTAAGATATTTTGCATCAAAGATGTTTACATATAGTCTACGAGACAAAATAATAGCTCAATTATGTCAGAAGCTTCAGAAGAAACCCAGAAGACCAAATTAGTACAATTTACCCAGAGTCTGAGAGACCCGCAGAGTTTTCCTGAGGAATAATGGACCGTTCACCTGCTCAGGACAAATAAGAGACTCATGAACAACTATTAAAAAAATAAATCAATTCAATAGCATGTGTCCTGAATTACATATTAGAGTACAACCTGAATTGAAATGTTCATTTAGAAACCAGAAACAAGACACACCCTTTGCATCTGAAATAGAAGACTGTATTGATTTTAAATGAATTTATTAAAGGTTTGAATGTCAAACTCAGCCCAAACTACTGCAGTATCTTCCTCTAGGGGGCTGTACTGCACACTCTTCCAGAGCTCTTTCTCAGGTTTTACAACTCAATAGCTTTTGTGGCGTTACACTTTTGTGAATAAGACCAACATCTAAATGTCATTATAGGACACAACTACAAGACACACCCCATAACGCTGAAATAAAAGAGTATTTGTATTGTTTATTAATCGACGTATGTGTTTACATTTCGATAGCATGTGGTGTGTTATAGTTCTGCAAACTCAACCGATGTCTAACTGTTATTCTATGAACCAGAAACAAGACACAGCCTTTGAAGATGAGTACCCAGAGTCTGAGAGACCCGGAGAGTTTTCCTGAGGAATAATGGACCGTTCACCTGCTCAGGACAAATAAGAGACTCATGAACAACTATTAAAAAAATAAATCAATTCAATTCAATAGCATGTGTCCTGAATTACATATTAGAGTACAACCTGAATTGAAATGTTCATTTAGAAACCAGAAACAAGACACAGCCTTTGCAGATGAAATAAAACGCTGTATGTTTACAAAAATTATATGTTAATAGGTTTGAATTTGATTCACCAGCGTGCATCCTGATTTACATATGATAGTAAAAGATGGCTGTAAATATGGTTCTTGGAACCAGTAACAAGACACACCCCTTATATTTGAGATATATTCTTTATACATTTCACAAGTGAAGCGTTTAGATGGAATGATTGTGCTTTTTGCTCTTGGTTTTGCACTTTGCAGACGGTCCCTATCCTGCACTTCTACATTATACGGTCTATCCGTTACAGATTAAAGCAAATAAAACACATTGTGTGTCCTCTTCTACATTTGAAGACAATTATAAGGCATTATGTTTCTTGTCATTGTGCTATGAATTTATTAAAGGTTTGAATGTCAAACTCAGCCCAAACTACTGCGGTGTTCCTCTAGGGGGCGCTGTACTGCACACTCTTCCAGAGCTCTTTCTCAGGTTTTACAACTCAATAGCTTTTGTGGCGTTACACTTTTGTGAATAAGACCAACATCTAAATGTCATTATAGGACACAACTACAAGACACACCCCATAACGCTGAAATAAAAGAGTATTTGTATTGTTTATTAATCGACGTATGTGTTTACATTTCGATAGCATGTGGTGTGTTATAGTTCTGCAAACTCAACCGATGTCTAACTGTTATTCTATGAACCAGAAACAAGACACAGCCTTTGAAGATGAGATAAAACGCTGTATGTTTACAAAAATGATATGTTAATAGGTTTGAATTTGATTCACCAGCGTGCATCCTGATTTACATATGATAGTAAAAGATGGCTGTAAATATGGTTCTTGGAACCAGTAACAAGACACACCCCTTATATTTGAGATATATTCTTTATACATTTCACAAGTGAAGCGTTTAGATGGAATGATTGTGCTTTTTGCTCTTGGTTTTGCACTTTGCAGACGGTCCCTATCCTGCACTTCTACATTATACGGTCTATCCGTTACAGATTAAAGCAAATAAAACACATTGTGTGTCCTCTTCTACATTTGAAGACAATTATAAGGCATTATGTTTCTTGTCATTGTGCTAAATCGTCAAAGAACTATTGAAGATGTCCGAGGCTGGATCTCTGACAGCTTTGCATCGGGTTGTGATCGCGCCAGCGGACTTCGCTCAGGTGTTAAAGCTCTCGAAACAGCCCAGCTCTGTTCCTTTACTCTTCATCGTCGTGACTTCGCTTATTTCATCTCACTCAGAAGCCAAACAGATCTTGCGACAGTCACATCAAACATTACTGGTTTAACAGTTTCTGGAGTTCTCCTCAGCTGTTTCAGAGTGACTGAATAATGCATTAGTTTCAGCTTACCGTGAAAAAACTCAAAGAAAGCGTCACGACCAGCATCCAGACCAGAGCTGACCTCCTGAAATACGAGCTGCCGTCGCTTCTGGCCATGATGACTAATCTAACTAACTAACTAACTACAGTACAGTACAGTTGAGTGCGCTAGTCTCCTCTCGGCGGTCAGTCAGTCACTACAGAGAGCGCTCAGCACCGGAAGTGACGGCCGCGACACAAAGTAACAGCCACGCCTTTAAATGTTACAAAGTAACAGTCACGCATTTAAAATGTAAAAAAAAGCCATGCACGCTTGTGAGTTAATTTAAAAACATGATTAAGTTTAATAGCGCGCGTTTCTTCGATTTGTGTATATGCATGTTCTACTTTTATCTTGTGCTATTGTATTATAATTATATATAAATGTGATCTGCCTGTTCATATATGTATGTATATGTTCCGCAATACAAATAAATAACAACAACAATAATAATAAATACTACATAAAAATTACCTGGAGTTTTTTTAAATAAGCCGACTAATTAAGCACCATCGCTGCGAAAATGAATCGTGTCTTCAGTACAGTAACCATACATGTCTTTTAAAGATATCTGCTTCACATGCTCAGTTTAAGCTCTTTTATATATATATATTTGTATTGCCTTATATGTCCAAAACTGTAATTAAAACAAACTAAAATTCACATGCTGTTGCAACATTTTACAAAAATCAGTGCTGAATATATTTGGTCAAAATCCCATGTTATAAAAAGATGAAGTGCTATGACAATATATACGATTTTGGGCTGATTAGACGGCAATGCTGACCTAAAATGCTAAATGATTGCCCTCTCAAATGCATAAAATATTATTAGGCTACCCTTTTTAGCTTTTGAAGTAAAGAGTAGAGAAAATACTACACAAAACTTACTGAAACAGCCAGGGGCCAGTTTCATAAACTTAGCAAGAGGTCTTACTTTTCCAACACAAATAAGACCAAACTAACTTTTCATAACTGAATTAAAAAAGCTATGACCAGTCTTGAAGAAAAATAAACTTTTTAAGACTAGTCTACACGGTTTATGCAGCCGGCCCGTTCTTGGTCTTCTCTTGTAAGACACACTGTTAAGAACAAAACAGCAATAACTGTGTCTGAATGATTTGTGTGTTTAGCTGCAGCACAGTAAAGCCTCATGAAACAGCCGAAGGCCACACATCACAAGATCCATTTCTTTATTACAAAAAGCTCTGTACATTTGCGGCGTCAGAAAGCAGAAATCCCTCAATAATCCAACAGAAGAACCAGTGTTTCTCTCGCACAGTCGCTCTAAATCTAACTCAAATATATCAAACAAACCGTCTCAGATTTCTGAGCACATACAGTGAGGATCAACTCTAAATATTCAGCATTACGTATTAAAAATGCAGCCGCGTGTCAAGTTTAAAATGAGAGGAAAAAGAGAAAATAAAATACATCATTCACTGTCCTACAGCAGGACGATTTCAAGAGCTTCCGACATGATAAAAACTGATATTCCAACTCTAGCTGTCGACTGAAGCCCTTAACAACAAACATTAGTTCGATGTTCAGACCGACTGTGGAGTCCATTCACAATAACATACTCTATAATAATATACTCTATAAAACATCAATACGACGCTCTCTGCTTACAGCTTGATTGACAGGGCACGACATTATTAGCAATAGTTCAGCCAAAAATGAACATGTGTTGAAAAATGTGCTCATCCGAGATGTAGATGAGTTTGTTTTGTTGAGTTGATGAGTTGTTCGGCATTGCATCAGTGCCTGGGTGTGAATGGGTGCCGTCAGAATGAGAGTCCAAACAGCTGATAAAAACATCACAATAATCCACAGCACTCCAGTCCATCAGTTAACATCTGGAGAAGACAAAAGCTGAAACACATCCAGCATTAAGATGCTTTTAACTCAAATACAGAGTCCATAATCCATAATAACTCGATCTGGGATGAGCACATTTTCATTTTGGGTGAACTCCTCTAGTTTTGTCTCAGTTTGAGGTGCTTCTCAGTGTTTATAGGCATCAGGGTGTCATGGACAGCATTCAGAAAGAAGGGACGGGAATAAACAGCATCTCAAACCTCTTTCCTCTCTTTTCATTAGTATTTTTAAAGGCGATTTGGCACAATCATGTTACAAAAGAGAGAAAAAGAGTTTGATCCTAAATCTTTGTATTTCTCATCTGAACACTGTGTATAAATCAATATAATATGTTTATATTACATTAATTTACATGGTGAGTCAAATATCAGATTTCATAAGCAAAACAGTTACGATGTATACAAAATATCTATAAAAACAACTACATGCCATCGCACAAACAGGCAAAACAAATCTCAAATATTAAAAAACTGGTTTTGTACATTTCCAAATGTCTCATCTTATTTCCCAAATCTGTTTAGATCACTTTGCAGCCAAACACACTCACACACACTCTCACACAAACACACACATCCACTCTCTCTCTCTCACACACACACACAC